ATGTATCAATCATTACCTTCCTAACTTTGAATGTATAAATTTTTACTCCCTCCGTTCCATAATTATTGTCTAGTTTAAGTTTTCATTTCTAGTTCAAATTGTATTAAAACTGAAATCTCAAACTGGACAATAATTTTGGGACAGAGGGAGTAAATTATATATGTAGACATTCTATATAAAATTTTCTCTATGTATATCATTATTCTTGACAAAATATGATCACCATCAGCACACGGGAAACCAAAGAAGGGGTTGTCTTCCTTCCATCCCCACCCGAAAGTTTCAATGGTCAAGGACAGCCCATATCTTGCTTCCTTGTTATGTTTTCTTTTTCGGCTTGGGCCCAAGTCCAGAAGTCAGCCGAGTAAATGTTTTGAAAGCGGAGAATAGTGGTGACATTTTTCCTTGAGAAATATTGGTTGTTTATACCCAAAACTTTGAGCCCATCGTCAATGTTATCCTATTAATTTCTGATTAGTCAATTTTATCTTTATTGTTTGAAATTTTTATTAATTCCGCCCAATTGGCCCAATTTCCGTTAAACTTAACGGATTTTCATTAGTTTTTAACCAAAAATACCTTGATAGTTATAGAAAATTATAAAATTAACCCTAAAAATATATAGAAAAAATAAAATAGTCCCTTTTTATTCATTGTTTCCTATTTCATTTTATTTCTCTTTATTACTTTTCATAACCATCAAAATATACTATATGATCCTTAAGAAAATAATTATTTATTTTTAAAATCTATTTTTCATGTTCAACACATGTTATTTGGGTTGAGGGGTAATTTTGTCATTTTAAATTTTTGAATTTTTATTTTTATTTTTTTTATTCATCTTTTTTTATATTTTTATATTTTTTTCATTATATTTCCTGACTTGTATATATTGATACTAGAATAATTATTAAATTTTAATAATTAATATACCTTTTTGTATCATAGATTACAAAAACTTTAACATAAAGAAAATGATGAAGAAAAACTTAAGTTGAAATAAATATGAAATTTAATAGTTTATCATTCTAAAAAAAAAAAAGCAAAAAAAAACCTTTAAAAAAACTGCAAAGACAAGTCTTTTCTCCTTAACTTCCTCAATTTCATTGGTAAGTTATGAAACAGAAATTTTATTTGATCTAGCCTAAAATGATTATTTTGTTCTTTGTAGTAAAAATAATACAAGTCATGTAGTATAATTTAGTAATTATTTTGCTATGAAATAAACGTATTTATTTTTTTCATGAAATTCAATAATTGCTTATGTGGTTTAGCAACCGCCAATCGACCAAAAAAAATTATTAAAAAAGAATAAAAATAGTGTTAACCAAATTTACAGAAATGCATCATTATAAACTAATTAAATTAGCATATTTTCATGTTTCAAATGATTGTCTAATTTTTATATTATTTTATTACAACGAACTAAATAATTATTTTAGGCTAGATCAAGTAAAATTTATGTTTCGTAACTCACCTATGAATTAGAGGAAATCAAGGAGGAAAGACTTCTCTTTGCAGATTTTTTTTAAAAGATTTTTTTGATTTTTTTTTTTAGAATAATAAACTATTAGTTTTCATGTTTATTTCAACTTGATTTTTTCTTCCTCGTTTTCTTTATGTTAATTTTTTTATAATCTATGAAATAAAAAAACAAATTATTTAGTAAAATTTAATAATTATACTAGTATCAATATATACAAGTAAGGAAATATAAGAAAAATAATCTAAAAAAATAAATTATAAAAAAATAAAATTAAAAAATTTTTAAAATTAAAAATGACAAAATTACCCCTAAACCCAAATCACATGTGTTTCACATGAAAAATAGATTTTAAAAATAAATAATTATTTTTTTAAAGATCATATAGTATATTTTGATGGTTATGAAAAGTAATAAAGAAAAATGAAATAGAAAAAATAAATAAAAAGAGACTATTTTGTTATTTTTATATTTTTTAAGATTATTTTTATAATTTTTTGAAACTATCGGGATATTTTTGGTTAAAAAATAACGAACAATCCATTAAGTTTAACGAAAATTGGACCAATTGGGTAGAATTGAGAAAAATTTCAAACAGTAAGGACAAAATTGGCTAACTATAAATCAATAGGGTAGAATTGACGATGAGCTCAAATTTTTGGGTATAAACGCCGATTTTTCTTTTTTCCTTGTAATGAACAAAAAGAGAGAGGTTCGAGCCAAAAACACTTGAGATACCGTGTGCGTATGAAAAACAAATGATTTTAGGGAAAATAAATAAACAAAAGAGCAGTGAAATATATAATGAAAAAAAAGTTAATATAGTTTGTAGAATGTTGTTGGATATAATTTATTCATCTAATCTTAAATGAAGAAATTATCGGGTTGATGTGTAACCATGGAAGATTGTTGTTTAATCCATACCATTAGTTATAGGTTTCCTTCATAATTTTCACTATATATGTCATTGTTCTTGGAGTAATTTGATGAGTGAAGTGTCCAATTTTATTTTGTAAATAAATATGTCCTTCATTTCCTTTTCTATTTTCTTTCGTCCGTTATCTAAACCTCTGTTAAATGATTTTTTTTTTCTTTCTCTTTTACATATAGTAATGAGTATTTTCTAGCCTTACATATAGAAATTTTGAAATACGAAATGTAAAAATTTTTCTTAACCAAAAAAACCAAAAAAAAGGAAAGCCACATTTTTAATTGTGAAGGATAAAATTTTATATTGCTAAATGTAAAGTAGAAATCGCCTTACACTTGAATAAAAGTCTGAGTTCCTAAGAAATTAGGGGAAAATATTCAGCCAAGGTGAGATCCTGATCGTCCAAAGGCCTCCATCTGATGGTCTGAATCAATTTGACGGACGTCATGATATCAGCAACTTATGAAGGACAAATTTGTAAATGAATAAATAATTTTTGTTTTTCCTATCCTATTTTAAAAAACTCCAAATTCAAAACGACCTCGTTTCAGTCATTTTTTTAAACCCCCGAACACAAAACGATGTCGTTTTGACTCATTCTTTTAAAATCCTGATCGTACAAAGGCCTCCATCCAACGTTCTGAATCAATTTGACGAACGTCATGACATCAGCAACTTATGGGGGACAAATTTGTAAATAAATAAATAATTTTTGTTTTTCCTATCCTATTTTAAAAAACCCCCCGAATTCTAAACGACCTCGTTTCGGTCATTTTTAAAAAAATCCCCGAACCCAAAACGGCATCGTTTTGACTTATTATTTTAAAAATTTCCTACCAAAAAATAAAATACTCACGGTTAGATACATCACACTTTGGGCCATTGGCTTGTTCTGAGCCCAATAAAAAAACGGAGAGTTAAATTATAGTAGCCAACGACATGAAAAATTGGTTCAGCCGTTCGTGTCTCCGCCGTCCGTCTTCGGCGTATATTTGGGAGCGGTGGCGATATTTGAATTGGGTCGCGAAATTCCTTCCTCGGTTTGGGAAGTTTTTCCCCCCTGACTTCTATTTCAATTGGGAAAATTTCCCAATTTATGTACGGGGCAACACCAATTTTTTTAGGGTTGTATTTTAATTGGCAAAAATTCCCAATCCGGTACGGAAAGAAAAGTATTTATACACTTGTATTCTAAAACCCCAAACGAACCTCACAATTTAGGACCACAATGAGGTTTTTCCTTCAACTTTCCAACAAAATATTTCGACGACCGATTCAGGTAATTGTTTCCCTTCCATATTTTTGAAGTCTCCATAGTTTACTTGTCAATTATTTAGCTCTCACTTTGTTGTACTATCTTATTTTTATCTTGTTGCTAGGCCTGTTTAATGGTGTGTGAATTAGAATAAGACTATTTAGGGTTTTTTTTTTTTTTTTTTCCAGTTCATGCGGAGTGGACAAGGTTTTGGGTTTTTTTTTTTGATAATGCCGGTATTAGAATTTCATGAGTTTTCCTTGGTTTTGTTGCGGTTACAATTAGAAGGATTCTTGAACATTACTTTCGTTCAATTGTGGTTATCCCATTAATTTTGAGCTCTCCCTGTTTTCTCCATATTTATAATTGTCTCAATTATTGTACTTATAATTTTACTCTACAGTTCTCCTTATCCATCTTTTGACTTGGTGATTTTGCAAACCAGATTACTTTTAATTTTTATTTTTATTTTTTATTTTTTTATCAACTTAGCTTCAAAATTTTCATTTCTTTAAGACGTGCGGTTGAGGCGGAGCTATTTAGAGCATCTCCAACCCAATACTCAAAAATTGCAATATAATAAACTCTAAAATACAGTATGTAGAGTGTTTAGCGTGATTCTACTCCATTCGAATAACTCTATATTTTATAATAAACAAGTAATATTTTATTAAAAAAGAAAGCAATTAAGAAAATTCAGAAAGAAGAATAAAAAAAAAGGAAAAAATAATTGGGAAGACCCGCAAACGGTGATTGAGTTTGCTTTAACTTTGCTGGAGATCTCCACTACCAATCCCTCTTATTTTGCATCTGGGTGGAAAGATTATAATACTGTAAAATAACACAAAAAGATGATTTTACAGTATCGGTTGGAGGTTGTCTAATGTAGTCATTTTTAGAGTATGGCGGCTACGAATTAATGTGTTCTTTTTTAAGCAAAAGTCTTGGACCAAAAGCTTCGAAAAATTGTGATTGTCTCATGATAATAAAAACACTCATAAGTCAGAACTTAATATCATTACTCATTAGTGTCTGCAACCTGCTTGTGTACAAAAATGATGATGATAATAATAATAAACCACTTTTAACGGCAAAATCCATAACTGCTACTTCATATATGAATTTGAATTCTCTATGGATTAATTCTTATTCTGTTTCGTCAAAACTGATAATATTTTAGTAAAAAAAATAATATTCATGATTTCCTCCACAAACAGATGGTATATTAATGTCAAATATATAAGCAATTATGATTATGCAGCCACTTGTATTTGTCATTATACTCTCTAGAGTGATCTGTATCCTAATTTTTTTACTTCAAAGTTCATAACTCATTTACACTGTCGCTTATTGAAGTTTGGAACATGAAGCAACTTTGTCAGTAAATTGTTCAATCTTCTGGCACCTGGTCCAGGCTTTAAAATCCCATATTTATCACTTTGTATATCTGAGCATGTATAATTGGTACTGTTTACGACGCCATTGTCGCCGCCGGAACACCATCCTCCATACGAGAACCGCCCTGCGCGCTGCCCTCGTTTAAGTAGGTCGCGATCAATCTTGTCCAAAACCGGATCGTTCTTCTTGAATTTCCGGGCGAATGGACGGCTGCTTAAGACCATTCTTCTGTAGTCTTTGATCCCGAGTGACCTTGGATGTTGCTTAGGAGGGATATCCCAGGTGATGTAGTGAAGATCATGGTTAACGGTGGTGTTCCGGTAGTCGTCGGAGTTGCAGATCAGAGTCTGGAAGTAACCCTCAGGAGATGAGACGAAGTTGGTGTAGTAGAGGAGGAGGGTTCTTGGCAGATTCTCCCAACCAACAATGCAGTATTCGGAAAAGGACCTGGATAACATTGTCCAAGCAGAACCTGAAACATCCATTAAGCATGCATACTGCAAATTAGTTCTGGTTGAATGGTACCCTGGTTCTCAGATTGAAAATCAAACATCTTCACCTAGTTGGAGGTTTTTTATCTTAATGTTTTAGAAAACATACATATCAAATGCATTAAACAATAATGTTGGCGATAAGGTTTTTAGAAAGAGATCATCAACCTTGGATCGAATATGGATTATTAGTTTGGATGTGGTAATATGTCCCCACATGTTGTAGTTAAAAAAATTGACATATATCTCGTGTTGCACTTGTATTAATTGTGTTTATGACTTGTATCAATTGTGTTTATGACTTGTATATAGTGATAACTTGTCAATTTTATAATACATTAATTAACACTATCTTTTCACTAACACAAGTCACTAATATGATTCCACTATACCACCAATCCTTGTTCTAGCAATGTTGAGACTGCTATTCTCCAATTTTTCAGTTCATGATCGTCAAACATACAGTTTGTCACTCTTTTTAATTTAGTGATCAAAAGTAAGGATTAATTTTTTGTTAAACAATTATAATAAAATTAACTATTAGTTTTACTCAATAAAGTTGATTATTAAAATAAATTGAGGCGCAATGACTGACAAATCAAGGACAAGAAATAGTCGACAGCTCAGAAAAACAAAAGGCATTTTTCAGTCGCCTGATACTAAATCTATGAACTAAAAAAAGGCATAGAAATTAAACAAGTGAAAATGATCAGAAGGGCCATGTGAAAATGTTAGCTAAAAGCATGTGGGTAACCTGATCTGCTAACCTAGAGGAATGTGACCTCTGTTTTCAAGAATTAAGAGATTCATATAATATGCAAATTGTAATATCACAAAAAGAAGAGATCGAGAGAGTTCGTAGGGATGAGGGAATACCTGTGAAAAGCTTGAAAGCAGTTGGGAGATTTCTTTGCTTTATAACCCACCATATATCCGATTTATTCCGGCTATGCAGTCCCGGATCTATTATTATTGGTTTTCCCCTCTTACTTCTGCACAATTAATGTACATTTTTTTTTTTTGTAAATTAACAATCTTAATGATTTGCATAATGAACATGCAAATCCCAAGTAAAAACTGCAAATTAACAGCAAAGCCGCTTATTATATAAGGTTAATAAAACTTAGTTCAAATTTGTACTTTATAGTTAGGACCAGAGAGAACAATACGCTATCCTTTGTCATAAAATAGATTACAGTTTAACAATATGGACTAATTTTCTGTATGGAAGAAGTTTATTCCATACTACAATCAAGCATAAAGGTACATTGTTATAGATAATCCCCGGGTTACATTCTATGGATAGTTTGATTTTAAAGTAGGGCCATAAAAAGTAAGATTAATGATAATACCCGATAAAAAATACCGAGCGAAATAATATAAAGAGAAGTTGGACATACAAAATCACTCCTACTAAATACTGCTAATTTAAAGAAATCATTTTGTTATTTCTATATATATATATATATATCACCTTAGTTCCTGTACCATTTTCCTGTAAAATTTTTTTTTCCCGGAAAATATTTTTCCATTGCCACGTCAATAATTAAACAAATTGGGCGTACCTTCGAAATGGTGATAGTAGGACTTGAGTCAAAACTTACGACAAGTAGTATATGCTTTTACTACTTTAATCTTAAAGTCGACAGACAATCTCACAGAGTAAATAAAAATAGCCCATCGAATGTATAATAATCATATTAAATTAACGACGTTCTGTTACCGTTTCCAACCCAAGCGGCTGGTGTGCTGAATGAAATTGAGATCTCTTGACACATTTGCAAATGCATAAATCAGATCTGACATTTCACAGATTACAAAAGCAAAATCACATTTCCCATTCCACTTATCATCATCAAACACTTCAACACAAATAGACAAAAACACTAGTTAATTTTGTCGGCAAACTGGGCCCAAAGCATTATAACCATTATAAGAATGACATTAAATCTTCTATTTTAATTTGACAAAGTGAATTATTTTTGGCAACAAAATTTGGAACAGAGGTAATAGTGATGATTAGCACCAAAAAGCAAAAGAAATGAATGGAATCCAGCCACTCACCGTACCATCTTGGGTAACCAAAGGGTAATCAGAAGCACTGAGATTTATGAACCAATCCCAATTGGCAATCCTCAGAAGCATAGAAATGGCGTGAAGAGTGGTGGCAAGCATAGTTGGACCTCTGTAAGTGACCAAATTGGGTTTACCCACAACCCAAACATTACCAATTTGGTTGAAAACGGGTTCCCCGGAAACGAATCTGGCAATCTCTTTATGCTCATCTTCGTCGGCGCCGGCGTCCAAGTGAATTAAATAGTAGTTTCCTGGATGGTATAACGCCAGAAGAACACGTTTCAGCTTCAGGACGTCTCCTTTGGACGCAGAAATCAAGTAGGCAAAAGTGACTGGATATGGGTTGCTGGATTTGGGGACGATCAAGTTTTGATAAATGGGTCTGAGATTTCTGATGGGTTGGTGGGACAATTGATTAGGGACATAGAAAAAGTAGAGTAGAATAGAAGTGAGAATGAAGGAGATCAAGAACACTTTGATCGCCATTTTGGGATGATGAATGAGCTTTCTGGATGAACCATTTGTTTCTAGCTAGTTTGTGTTCGGCAATTTGTAGGAGAATTTGTTGTTTTAATTAATCAGTGGGAAATGGTATTTGAAGTTGTTGATGCGGTGCGGTGGTGGTGGTGGTTGTTGTTGGGGATAGAAAGCGGGGAATAAACGGAAGAGTGTAGAGGAAATCTGTCTTGTAGCTTGCTTGGAAGTGAAGGCCACAAATATGTGTCACTGTACTAGTGGTTTGTTTACGGTAAATAATTACTCCCTCCGTCCCATAATTATTGTCTAATTTTACAAAGATGTAATATTTTATTTTTGGTCGAACTCAACCAAAGCTTAGTGTAAGCTTCCAAATGTACCCTTGCATATATATAATTAGTTTACCGGCCAAGATTCTTTTCTTTAGCTCCCAAATTCAAAGAGCAAATTCAAGCGCACGAAAAACACCTTCAATTCCAATTGCATCTTCAATTCCAATTGTTGTTCAGTCAGGTGTTTATGATAGAAATAAATTTTCAGATTCAGAACTTCAAATTGGAGAATCTTTTTAGTTTAAATTTCAATTAGTTTTGTATGAATACAATTCTTCTATCTCACCGGAATCTTCCACGCCGGCATGGATCGAACAGAGTTCGTGAAGCCATTAATTGTGCCAATCATCGACTCCGAATTTGTTGTTATTCCTTCAATCCTTTTGATGAAGCTAACTTTTTTTGTTGATTATCTAGCTGAGGTATCAGATTAAAATTTGGATATATGAAACATCTTGTCCCAATTCATATGAATCATCTTTGAAAGAGCATTACAGGGAGAAGAAGCACACATACCACGAGAAGAGGAATCAAATCTTAGGGATGGCTCAAGATTTATTCTTCATATTCCTTCACAAATCCAGGCTCGTTGATGCTAAATGCCGACAGAGCAAAGCCCTGTTTTCGCCGCCGGAAGAAAACGGGTTCAACTAAATTGTTGTTTTTTGACTAGAGGGTATAAGTGTAACTTAAACCATAAAAAATCAAATCAAACAATAATTTTGGGACAAAATTTTTTTGGCAAACTGAACAATAATTTTGGGACAGAGGGAGTATTACTATTCATTATTCCTCTTAGTCCTTTACTAGATGGTACCCGCACGATGTGCGGGATAGATAAATTATGTATAAAATCGAACATAATAAAAATCAAAGAAATATTTTATACGTTAGTAAATCGATATACAATTTAAAAATACTAAATTAAATAATATTACATTAAAAGTAATTTTTATGCACTACTTATTTACAAAAGAAAATAAAAGGATCCATATATTGATATACATTTTAAATATATTTTGTATTTATAATTTGACATCTTTGACCACTCTTGTTGCTTATGATATTGTACCATCCTGAACAAAGCATTAAAACTCAATGAGATGATTTAGATTTCAAAGTGACCTTCGAACGCATGAGCCAAACTAGAAAATATGACCATGCTTAGGCAACAGCACTATAGGTCACACCGTTGACTACAGATCTTTAGAACCACGATACCTTCTCTAATTCATTTGTCTAAGATGCTCCAAAGAAATAAATTATACCATAAGATAAAATAATTTTTTTAAAAAAAAATTGAAGCAAAGGTTTCATATTAATACCTGACAGTTAAATGGGTCTACCTATCACTATGCCCTCTAATTTCATTTTCGCGAATCATCATCATATATTTCGCCATGATGTCTCTAAAAAAAATCAAACACTGAAATCATTAATTAAGATTGGCAAAGAAACTCACCGTGGATGTGCATTCGAAGATTCTTGCTGTAGAAAAATATTTGACCGCAGCTTGCAAAAGTTAGAAGCGAAAAACTTTTGACACCAAAAAATAATGATTATTAAAAAAAGGTAAATTCTAAAAGAAAAAGAGAGAGAGAGAGAGAGAAGAAAAAAAAGAAGAAGAAAAGATTCCGGTGTAAACTGAGATTGCAAGCCAGTTGAGTTTTATAAGCACACTTTATATATACATAATAATTTTAGTCACATATAATGGTATTGGAGTGATTTTAGGCATATGTTTGTATTTGATTGTGTTATAATAAAGTGAATGGTTTAATATTGGAGTGATTTTATATTTAATTTTTTTCGAATTTCAAAAAAATATTAATATTTTTTAATGATCAAACTAATATGTAATGATATTATTCAAGCTAATCGAAAAATCTTTTCAAATCAATCAGTTTTAATGTTGAATTAAAGAATCATTGATGGTTTTGTATTTATTATTTTCGAATTTCAAAAAAGCATTCATATTGTTTAATGATCAAACCAATATATTATGGTATTATTAAAGCCAATCAGAGAATCTTTTCAAATCAACCACCTTTGATGTTGAATTAAAGAATCACTGATTTGATTTTGTATTTATTATTTTTGAATTTTAAATAATCATTAATATTGTTTAATGATCAAATCAAGACGCAATGTCATTATCCAAGCCAATTAGATAATCTTTTTCAAATCAATCTTATTTAATGTTGAGATTTTAAAAAAATTTCGGTTTTTTTTTTTCATTTTAAGGAATGCAAAATAGAATGCTTACCACACAATTAATTGATATACTTTAATTAAAAATTGATAAAATTTATTAACTGGAAATTCAAAGGACTGTTAGTGTAATTGTTGTAAATATTTTTTATGTCAACCTATAGAAAAATGACACATAGGATTTTGTCCTATGTGTCAACGGGAGGAGAAGTTTGATTTCCTCTCTCTGGTTTCTCTCTTAGTATTATACTATAGATGTTTGCCGTTGAAAAGATACACTTTCTAAGAGATAACTCCAACCATTGCAATTTGCAACAAGTTTAACTAGATGCTTGCCCCGGGCGAATGCCCGGGGTGCCAAAATAAAAAATACAAATCATTCTTAAAGAATAAAAAAAATTGAAGAATAAAAAATCGATTAAAAAGGACAGGAAGTGAGTTATTACACATAAATCCATGCCCAGATTTACAACATTTAATTTACAACAGTTAACTTATTCTTGGGTTTACATAAATCATAAACCAATATCTACAACAGAAGAATAAAAAAAATCATCCTTTAAAAATCAAATTTCTTTCATGACAACTTATTTTTTCTCTGTTGTAGAAAGAGATGGATTGATAATTGATGTCAGATTTTAAATAATTGATTTAAAGACCCGTGTGTGAGAGAGGAGCGGAATAGAAGAAATCCTTTGAAATTGGGGATTGAAAAGACATTACTGGTGTTTCACTTGATTTAAGGGAATTTCCTTACATTTGATTTTATCAACTAAATATTGTTGTTTTAAGGGATTAGTATATATCTATAATTAAGAGATTTTTATCTAGCTATAATTAAGGGATTTATGTATTTATCTATTCCATTTTTTTTCTGATTAGTGTCAAAAATGATTTTGTACTGAAAATGACTTTTGACGGGAAAATTTCCATTGTGGTGCTGGCACATGTCCTTTTTGTTTACTGGTTTAATTAAGTACTATAGATGTAAAAATAAAATATTCGAAATATTTTTTCGCACTAAATGTTATTGCACTCCAATTTTGATGCATCAAATTTCTAAATTTTATAACTGACATTTTATTTTGATATTATTGAACTATCAACTCTTTTCGTATTTAATTTTAATAATGACTAGAAATAATTTTTTTTGAAAAAAAATAAATATTGTAGTCTTGTTTTGATGATCTCAACAAAGTCTTTAAAATGATATATATTTCAAAAGACTATTTATTTTGTAAGTTCAATCATATAACAAATCATATACTTAGATCAAAAGATAGTGCACAAAGATAGTACAACTGACAGTTTACACCAAATTTAATTTGACATCATTCATCATCATCATCAAACATATTATATATAAAAAGGGAGTTTCTCCCCTCTCACACATGAAACTATGGTAGTATCATCTTACTTGTGTGAAAAATTAATTGTGTAATTTAAACATTCAATACTTTAGTTTTCTTTTTTTTTCTTCTTCTTCTTCTTTATCTTTCTATCTACCCCTATTTTCTTTTAATTTATGCATGCAATCAATTTTTTCATTTTTATTCTTTATAATAATGAATTTACTACTACATTAATAGCTACTTATGAGGTTCAACATTACTAACTTTTCCAATTCTCCCAAGTAAAAGATATATAACTTCACAATACCAACCTGCCCAATTTTTTCAAATTCATCTTTTTCTTTGCCCTTTTTAATATTTTTTCTACCTATATATTATCCTTATTCTTATTTATAAGCTAATATAAAAGCCACATTTGGCAACTAATTTCTCGCAATCTGATTGGTCGAGCGATCGTCACGTGATATCATCCTCACATCACAATTACACCATTTTTTAATTGGGGCAAACGTGTCATTAACTAATTAGACATTCAATTAAAAAATAAATTTTTCAATAACCCCCAATAACTTCAAATTTGGTCCGTTTCTCATTTTTTTCGCAAACCACCCCCCCCCCCCAATCGTTTTGGCGGATTTTCCTTTTCTCTTTTGGGGGTATTCCTTCTCCTCCTAGGAATAAAAGCGAGAAAGGCAGCAGGGGAGAAGATTTGGGGAGCGGCCCTCCCCAAATAATTAGTTGGTGTAATTTGAGGGTTTGATCATTTCTTTTTTCCCCTGCTAACTTATGTTTAGTTGAGCTTCTGTATTCCAATTTTTTTATTTTTTTTGTTGATGACTTTGGTAAATGTTGGATCATCATGATTATACTTGCATGTTATGCTTTGTTCTAAACCAATAAATTGCCACTTGTGCTACAGAATTTTTCTGGTTTTAAACTGCCATCAATGGTCTACGGGAAATTCCTTCGGCCTCTAAAGTGTGTCGAACTTCAAAGCATGATGCTTAATGGTCAGTGCGAGGCGTTCCACTAGGCTTGTGCCTCTGTGAACCGCGCCAAAATCACAAAAGGCCTCTTGTCACTTCCCTCAATGAGAGGTAATATGCTCTACTTT